TCTGTGACACATCCTGTCAAGTGTGGCCTGTGTTGCTTCCCTTCCTCATCCATATTGCAAATACACATGGAAATTAAAAAAAAGCTGGCATTACAACTGGATAGGGCAGAGTAAGTGGCATTTTTCTGTCTGAGAATGCAGGCTCTACTTTTGAGTGATGTTAAAGCCCTTCAACAGGCAATTGCATTGATTAGACACCAACACAGAGTTCAGGTTCAAACTATTTGTAATCATGGAATTCTGCATGTGACACATGTACTGTGACCAACAATGTGGAATACAAACAAAAACAGAAATTGCTGGAAAAGTAATTCCAAGGAAGGGTCATAGAATCCCTACAGTGTGGAAACAGGCCCTTCGGCCCAACAAGTCCACACTGACCCTTGGAGCATCCCACCCAGACCCATCCCCCTATAACCCACACATCCCTGAACACTATGGGCAATTTAGCATGGCCAAGCCACCTAGCCTGCACATCTTTGGACTGTGGGAGGAAACCAGAGTACCTGGAAGAAACCCACACAGACACGGGGAGAATGTGCAAACTCTACACAGATAGTTGCCTGAGGCTGTAATTGAACCTGGGTCCCTAGTGCTGTGAGGCTACAATGCTGACTACTGAGCCACCGTGCCACCCTAAACTATTTGATGTGAAATCACTCAATGTGAAATGTTAACTCTGATTTCTCTCTACAGCTGCTGCCAGATCTGCTGAGCTTTTCCAGCAATTTCTGTTTTTGTTTCTGATTTAGAGCATCCACAGTTCTTTCGGTTTTTGTGTGGAATACAAATCCTGGTTGCAATCTTTGACCATGACATTAGTCATTACAAATTGATCATAGTCATCTCTGTGAAGCAGCAGTAATCAGAGGTGATCTTAAAAGTGTCACGTGAGGGCTAAAATTCACAAAGACAGTCCAAGATTTCATTGGCTGCACAAGGGCACAGATCTGATGTCTTAAGACCTTGGACTGTAAGCATTTGACAACATGCTTTTATACGTAGGGCTGCCTTTTGAGGACAATGTGGGAGCATGAGAGAACAAGCCTTCAGTATTCATATGGCACCTATGACATGTGCTGCATGCATTACAATATGCCAGATCTCCATGTAGAGGCATCCCATGGTCCTCCCTTTCAGAGTCCATGTGTCCCACTGTAGCAAGTAATGCATGAAACTGTTACTAGGACCTGTATTGTTTCCGATGTTCCCCACAGAAATAAATTGGAAGTGTGGCCAGGCTACAGCTGGGGTTAGAGATAGTAAGAACTGCCGATGCTGGAGTCAGGGATAACACAGTGTGGAGCTAGAGGAACACAGCAGGCCAGGCAACATCAGAGGAGCAGGAAAGTTGATGTTTCGGGTCGGGACCCTTCTTCAGAAACGGGGAGAGGGAAGGGAGCTCACATATAAATTGAGATAGGAGGGGTGGGGCTGGGGAAGGTAGGTGGGATGGTGATCTATGAGTGCAGGTAGGGAGTCGTGGGGATTGGTCAGTGAGGTGGGAGGAGCGGATAGGTGGGAGAGAAGATGGACAGGTTGTGTCAGGTCAAGGAGGTGGGTTGTGGATATGTATTTCCCTCCCCACCTTTATCTGCCTTTCATAGGGACCACTCCCTCCACAACTCCCCCGTCCGCTCCACACTCCCCACTAACCCCACCACCCCCGGCACCTTTCCCTGCAACTACAAGAAGTGCTACACCTGCCCCTACACCTGCCCCCTCACCTCCATCCACGGACCCAAAAATACCTCCCACATCAGACAGGGGTTCACCTGCACATCCGCCAATGTGGTCTATTGCATCCGCTGCTCCTGATGTGGCCTCCTCTACATCGGTGAGACCAAGTGGAGGCTTGGAGACCGCTTTGTAGAGCACCTGAGCTCTGTTCGTGACCATTGACAACCCCTTCCAGTTGTGAACCATTTCAGCTCCCCCTCCCACTCCCTGGACAACATGTCCATCCTGGGCCTCCTCCAGTGTCACAATGACGCCACCCAGAAACTGGAGGAGCAGCACCTCATATTCCGCCTTGGGAGCTTACAACCCAATGGTCTCAATGTGGACTTTACCAGTTTCAAAATCTACCCATCCCCGGGCTCATCACATGGCCAAGCCTCCCTCTCATTTCCACCTCCTTGACCTGACACAACCTGACACAACCTGTCCATCTTCTCTCCCACCTATCCACTCCTCCCACCTCACTGACCAATCCCCACCACTGCCCACCTGCACTCACCTACCACCATCCCACCTAACTTCCCCAACCCCACCCCTTCTCTCTATTTATATCAGAGCTCTCTTCCCCCTCCCCCATTTCTGAAGAAGGGTCCAGGCCCGAAATGTCAACTTTCCTGCTCCTCTGATGCTGCCTGACCTGCTGTGTTCCTCCAGCTCCACACTGTGTTGCAGATGGGGTTATCCTCACTGTTGTCACTGTACAAGAATGGTGCCAAGACATTGAGGAGGAACAGATGCACTAGCAAACCAGGACCAGCAGCAACTGCCAAACAACCTCCATATGAGGAGATCACAGTTATTGGACTTCTCAGGATGTGCAGGAAGTACAGGTGTCCGAGAGTCTATTGTCCTCAATGCCATTTCCTCCAAATGAACGAGAAGCATTGTCACTGCAGGCTGAGGATATCCTGGAACATCATCACAGAACTGTGTCATCTGCTGGAGGGGGACCTGGGATCTGAAGCACTGGATATCCCATGGTGACTGATTTTTTGTACAACTTCTGCTTCCAAGGATCCACTGGGGAACTGTGCAGGATGTCTCAAGTGTCAACCCATAGATGTATCAAGCTGTTACCAATGCAATCTGTGCCAGAACACATGTTTCAGCCTGCTAGCATAGTATTAATGTCAGTGCTGCAACTTGGGCTGTAGGCTTTGCCAAAATAACTGGATTCCCAGCATGTACATGTCATCTCTGATTATCCCCACCACATCTTAGAGGTCTGCACCAAATACAATGGAAGACACCGTGAAGCCTATATCCTTGAGAACTTGCAGCTCCTGCTTCATTTCAAGGATTGGAAGTCCTGCAAGGATGGTTGCTGGGTGACAAGGACTACTTTGTGCAATCATGGCTGTTGGCTCTGCTATATGAACCCCTGACTGAGACTTAGTGTAGATAGAATGCAAGAGAAGACAATATGCCTTCCGATGATGAGTGTCTAATTCTTCGATTGGTCTGCAGTCCAGTCCAGACAGAGTGTGCTACTCAATCCTAGTATGCTGTGCTTCTGCACAACTAGAACAAGCAAAGAGTGGATCTGATGGGTGCTGAAGAGCTGGGAGAGTAGCAGCAGTCTTCCAAAGTTGAAGATGATGACAATGAGCCAGAGGAATATCAACTTCAGCTTAATACAGCAGTGCAGCATTAGTTGTAACAAATCAGACAGGAATTATTGATAAAAACCAAAAGAACCGCGTATGCTGTAAATCAGGAATAAAAACAGAAGTAGCTCGAAAAGCTCAGCAGGTCTGGCAGCATCCGTGAAAGAAAAATCAGAGTTAACATTTCAGGCCAAGTGACCCTTCCTCATGACTTATTGATCCCAATTTCCAATAGATGTAAGCTGTGTGATGCAAAATGTGTGATCTATATACATTTTAATACCATTTATTTTATCACTTGGGTTTTGAGTTAGCAGCATGTGGATTTTGGTCTGTGTTCTGAGGACCTTTAATGCTTGTCAATATCCCTGGAGCCTTTTTTTTGTTGCACCAGTATGAGAGAGATAGTTTCTGGTGTGGATGGGAATTGGTTTGCATGGTTTTACGATTGGATGGAGTAAGCATTGAGAAACATTATCTAGCTTTCAGTTTAGAAGAATGAGCATTTTTTTGCTTTGCTTAGGTAAAAGACGCATAGCTTGGTTTCAGTTTTGCTGAATTCCTGGTTGGAGTTAGATATAAGAACACAGTTTTTCCTGAAGAAGGGAGACAGTTCAGAACAGTTAGGAAATAAGCTACCTCAGTGTAAGGGTTTTAGTTGGAAAGTTCCAGATCAGGAATGTTTTTTTGGTACCGTGAAGGGGTTACTTGAAGTTGAGAAAATCTAAGCTCCGTTGTGCAATGAATCAAGAAAGAGACCATCAAACTCCTGAAACTTCAAACTGAATGAAAAAATCAAGTCAAACCCACAGGTGTGATAAAGAAAGAGATTCTCTCTGGCATTTGAGCACTATAAAATAATGGTGCTTGGATAAATGAGATACATTTTACAGTGGATTTCAAAATCTTTCAAATTGTGTTAAATGCATGTAGCTTGGTTTATTCTATTTGATCTTCGTTTCTTTTGCGGAATAAACTTCTGTTTTATTGTTAAAATCAAATCTGCATCATTATGTGCTCATGTTTCAGTGAAAGATCACCTTGTCAAATAAAACCAAAACCAAATCTGATCTATTAAGCTAGATTTCAGACTGTGATTTAACTTGTCTAATAATACTGGCTGGGTTCATAATAACTGTATGAGGTCATCATTCATTGACTGTAAAGTTATTGCTCAAATGACAAGGAGTCGCTATTTATTCCAAGAAGCAAATGCAGCTTTTCTGTTTGTTTTTATTCCTCTACTCTTCCTATTGTCCAATGGAGTGAACATTATCAACTATTTGAACCTTTTAAACATCTTGTGCTCTCATATTTGACAATGACGCTGGGCACTTGGAAAAGGTTAGCACTCATTGAGACAGTGTTCTAACACGGTATGGGCTAAGGCCAAGTAGCTTCATTCCTGTATCCGCAGCTACTATGATAATCAATCAGTTAGGTGATGATGTAAAGATTGCCTGGGTGTAGACAGAAAGAAAAAGCTAATGGTCTGGAGTGCCCATAACAAATCACATTTAAAATCACATCCCAATAGCTAAAATTTGAGGAGAGCCAGTTAGGTCATCATACATTCTTCCCATCCAATTTTCTTCTATTCAACCAGCCCAGTAGGTGCAGTGCATTCAAACACATGAACATCAAAACCAATTCTACGGTCTTAGAGAGTAAATTGTTTATTACTTAGAAAAGACTTTACTTCATGTTAATGGTAAAAAAAATCCTTTTTTCCAATTCTTTTGTTATGTTACAATGTATTGTGCTATGAACAACCAATTTATTAGAATAATAGTTTCCCAACTTGAAATGATCGATCTTGGTGAAACCTTTGGTATTATCAAGGCCATGATACAGTTTTGCACCTAGCTACGTATCAAGGTATACAATTGAATCTTGAAGGACAGAAACTACAATTCATCCTTCTTAGCGTCACCGGTAGCATCCTCGCCTGTTTTATGGTGCACTGTTGTTTTGTTGGTCTTCCCATTAAGAATATCATCAATATCCTACAATATTAGAAGAAAATATTAATCATTTGCACAATGTGTATTTGAGGAGAGAAAATAGGCCTCAAGAAAATCACTGCTGATTGAATATAGAATATACTGACCAGTTCATCATTATTATCTGTTTCATCTTCTTGAGGTAATTTGCCACCATTGTCCAAAAATTTTGAAAATGTTTCCAGATCCCTTGCTCCTTCATAGTCAATCATCTGCAAAATAGGTAACAGGCAATTTTTGGAATTTATTACAAAATACTAAAATATAAAAAGAGATGACCATGTAGCATTTTAGGATTTAATACAGTATTTAGTGAAAATACGAAATAATCTTAGTCGACAAATTGATTCCTTTGTACTAAAGTCTGCAGTAAGAGACCAATCCTATCGCCATCTGATACACACAGATCATTGCAAAGTCAAGTTGATTGTGCTACTGGATACATTTATTCCCAGAGTGATATTCACATTATGAGTGGGCAGAGCTCCATCACAGCCTATTTGATAATTCCAATGGGAGGCCTAGTCCATTTTGAAGACCGTTAGCAACTGACCCCTCGGGCTTACTGTGACATTTGACAATCTAGTTCAACCTCCAGGTCAGTAAATGGTGATGTGGGATAGGGCATCTATTCTCGTGAGTGCAGGGGCTTTATGAAGGTAGACGCCTGCTTCTCTTGGCGCTACAACAATAAATTAAACATGTCTGCTGGCTTTTAACCAACTAACTGTCAGCTGATACTTGCCAAAGTATTCATTATGCATACTCCTCCGATTCGCATATGACAACAGCAATCAAGATCATATTGATGTTTTTCAGTTTAAAAGGGCTTCTACCTGACTTAGGTAGGTATTTCAGATGGCTAACAATTAGACTGGTGAAAGGCCTTATTGGCAGGAGCAGATCAATCAATCATTCTCAATATTTTTGGCAACTGTCCCATTCCTACTCCATGGAAAAAGATTAGCTGTTAATTACTAATTCTTGTTATGGGGTTGAACCCCATTATTTTTTAATATATAATTTCCAAAACTTTCAGCTGGTTGGAACATTTGAAAATTGGACCGAGACTAGACAAACTGCTTAAAAATGCAGGACCACCTTCCAAGGTGCAGGTGCAAAAACAAACAAATTGCTCTTGGGGGGATGCAAAAAGAGAGATTTCCTACAATCTGAACACTCATCAAAACCCATCACAGTCTCAGGGAGATATCAACAAATTCTGCACGTTAAAATTTGTTCTTTGTTCCTTGATAAAAGTTTTCTCTGCAGCTTTTTCTATGGAAACCAGGTGCCAATATTTCCAGAGACAGAAAATTAAGAAATCGGTTTATCTTAATTTATCTTCTAAGAAGCTGTCATAACCTCCCTTGAAATATTGGTTCCAGCGTGTATTTCCAGGAGATTCTCTGGGTTGAGTTGCCATTTTATCAATGTTTAATACTTTGAATTAGTTAATTACTTCCTGAGACTATTTTTTACTCATGCATTGTTTCAGCAGTGCAGATGATTTTGTTTTTGCCACAGTAATTTTATTAAAGAAATAACTAACAAAAATGATTTGTCATATATAAGGAATAATTTCCCATTCTTTCTCATTATTGGACCTTTAAAATCAAAGTAATCTCTGGGCGAGATTGTTCAACCATTGATGTGAATGGTTGGACACACATACATATTGCCCACATTGCCATAATGTGTTGATGACAGGCAGAAGGCAGTCAAAATAGTTGCCCCAGTTGTCTTTAGAATGTGAACATGAACAGACCTTTCTTCCTGATCCAGCAGGGAAATATTTTATCGTCGGAAATCCTTGCACTTTAACAGATTCAACCTCATTAACAGTGGCATCCATTTTAGCAATTAAAACATTTTCATGATCCTTGTACTTCTCACCCAGTTGGTCCCAGATAGGAGCCAATTCTTTACAATGGCCACACCAGGGAGCATCTGTAAGACAAAATTACAGCACCAATTGTCAACAACTGTGATCTCTTCATCATACTGGACTGATCATGTTGTACGAAAGAGTGAGGCCTATCATATAGGAAGGAGATCTGTGTGACAAAGTGTGTTAATTAGTGACCATTCTTCAATAATGGTTATTAGTATTCAGTCACCATGGGCTGGAATTATACATGGAGGGTGATTCCCCACACCCATCATCAGTTTGGCCTCCTCTTGGACGCCTCCACCCACTTTTCCTTTTTCAGGCAATAGCTATTTAATTCATATGAAGAGGAATCTCAGTCTGTTTCTAGAAGCAAGTCCTGCATCAGCGAGTTGCTGACCAATTGGGGGCCAGAAGGAACCAGAAGTGATCAATGTTGGCACTGCAGGAGGCACTGGATAAAGAGGAACCTTGGAATGCCATCAAGCCCAGGTAAGTCCAGTATCGCACTGGGGAGGGGTTGGCAGGGCTACTGAAGTAGATTGGGGGAGAGGCATATTGGACAGGAATGGGAGAAGGATAGATGCAGGAAGGCACACTTGTTGGGATGGGGGTGGGGGAGTTTAGTTTGCACAAGTTGCCCAGGAAAGAGGCATCTTCCCCTCCACCTTTCTCTGACCGGCATTCCCAGAGGATCAAACCTGCCGGACTACAGTTGGGTGTAGACCTTTGCCGCTGCCTATTAAGCGGGAAAGGTGGATTAAGTTCTTAATTACACATTGATTGTCCATTTAAGGGCCTCATTTCAGGGTTGAAGGGAATCAACATTTCTAAATGAGAGACAAGAATGAAACCGAACATGCAGACATGAATCTGCAGGCACACGATGGAGGAGCCCAACATGCGGCCTTTAGTTTGGTGTCTGCTGGTATAGAGGTGGGAGCAATCAGGTGTTTCTGTTTGTAACCTCATGGCATCATCCCAGTCCAACATGCTGTCTAGTGCTAAAGGCATACTTGAGGCTTACCAATGACCAGCACTAGCATTGGTTATGTCAGCCCAGCATACATTTTAACAATGTGTTCTTCCAGCAAATGGTACAGCTCTGTAGCTATTTCAGGGTTAACAATTGCTAACCCCTTGGCCAAACAGACTGTTGATCATTCTTGCCTGCTGTACTAATTTAAATTTGAGAAGTGTAACTGGCATATCTCTGAATAATAATAATCTGGAAATAGCGGTGATGGGGTAGCCAATGGCCTAGTGGTATCATTGTCAGACTATTAATTCAGAGAGCCAGGGAGTGTTCTGGTGACCTGGGTTCAAATTTTGCCTCAGCGGATGATGGAATTTGGATTCAATAACAAATCTGGAATTAAGAGTCTAATATTGACCATGATTCCATTGCCAACTGTTGTCAAAACTCATCGGGTTCAATTATGTCCTTTAGGAAGGGAAACTACCAACCTTACCTGGTCTGGCCTACATGTGACTCCAGATCCAACAGCAATGTGGTACCCTCTGGGCAATTAAGGATGGGGTATAAATGCTAGCCTAGCCAGTGATGCCCACATCCCATGAATGAATCAAAACAAAGGTCAGCAATTGTTGACATATTGTATCTCTGCCATTATGTCTGTTGTCACAACCTTCCATGGTGAAGGAAGTCTTTACATTTTGTGTTCACTTGCTAGAGTGAAGTGTTTGCACCTCTGTCTGCATGAGGAAATAGTTGAATGCCAGAAAATGGCCACAGAAGCCCTCTGCTACAGACAAGCCTAATAGTTGAACTTGAGTCTTCCAAAAGCTGAGGTAGTGGATTCCCATTTAGGAATCTTAATGAGCGCAGCATTGTCCTGACAGAGGAAAATAAGCTTGCTAGACAATTCATGTATAAGGTCAGCGAGAATCCATGCCAGCAGAAACCAAACATAAAGAAGGTTAAAACAGTCCAATCTTATTTCTGTGGCTTTTAAACGAATCTCTGGATGATTTCACAGTTCTGGTACCCCTGAATACTCAGTGAAAATTAATTTTATTTCCATACAGAACATTCAATATCCACAAATGTGCAGATCCTTGTCACCCCATATATCCAAATGTAAATAAAAAATCCCGCTATTTCAAACAGGAGCTTCTTGCTTCTCTCTCCATTATCCTTGACACATGGGTTTGTACAGACTCAGCCTTCAGGTCTTCAGTCCACCAATTCATTTTATCCATTACTCCCAATAAGTTGACATGGATATTTTGCAAAATGGGAACAATTGGGAACAGGGTGACAAAGAGATAATGTCATTGGACTAATAATCCACAGGCTAATGCCCTGGGGACACAGGGTCAAATTGCACCATGGCAGAATTTAAAGTCAATGAATTAAAAATCTGAATATAAAGTTAGTCTCAGTAGCTATAACCATAAAAGCAATTGTTGAATGTCATAAAAAATCTACCTGGTTTACTGAAATCATTTAGGGAAAGAAACCTACTGTCCCAACTGGTCTGGCCTTTAGGCCCACCACAATCTAATTGACTCTTAACTACATTCTGAAATCAGTTCAAGGGCAATTAGAATGAGCAACAAAAGCTGGTCTCAACAGCAATAGCCATGTCCCATAAGAAAATCAAGAAAAATGCCATAAAAATCAACCTCATTGAGTACAGATGAGTAAGCTTTATTTCCTAACCAATGACAAAGTGCAGAATAACTGGAATTTTGGCAGATTGTTGGACAAAGTTTATTGTCTCAACAGATCCATACATCAGAGATGCTTCAGCAAAGCTTTTGTTACACAACTGTGATATTTTGGTTGTCCCTACATTTGTTTTGCATGCAAGCTGTCATTCTTTTAAGAATCAATGGGATGGTCAACATCAATTGTAATTAGATGGGCTGCTTTCAATGCAAATTGTGGAATTGTGCATCACTTTCTAAACTGAATTTTTCGATTCCTGGTATCATGGTGATACCTCAGTAATAACCCAACTAAGCCAACAGGCTCTAATGATGCAGGCTAATGAAATTGCAATGCCACTTAATTTCATAGCACAAAGACAGAGATTCAATGTCTCACTCAACATCAGCAGATGCTAGAAGACTTAAAGTTGATGGGGAGAAGAAAAGGCCAATGTCCAAAAAAGGAATTTCTTTTCTGGCCATTGCGCAAGATGAAATGACAGATTTTATAGGAAAAGATGGAATCATTTATTTAAAACTAATTGGAATTTCCAATTTTAACTAGAATAAAACAAGAAACATCTTTTGGATTTCTATTCTTTTTCTAAAGCACATTTGTACTTATCAATATTGTGGATCTGGGTGTCACTAGCAAGACCAATTATTGTGAATCCCTAACTGACTTTGAGAATGTGGTGATCTTTAACTGCTGGTAAACAAATACAGATGTACTCCCATTGTCTTAGGTCAGGAATTCCTGCAATCTTGAACCAGTGACAGTCAAGATACAGTGATAGATGGTCAAATCAGGATGTTGTGCGAATTAGAGGAGAACGTAGATATGTTGGAGATCCCATGCATTTGCAGACTTTGCTGTTTAATTGGGAAGAGGCTGAAAGCTTAGAAGAAGCCTTAGCAAGTTGCTCCTCCTGTGCATTATGAAGGTAGAATACACTGCAGTCACATTGCATCAATGGTACAAGGCGTGGATGTTTAAAATGGTATGCTGTTCTAAATTAACCCTTTTGTATTACTGTGTGCTGACTTATGGTTTCTAAAATATATGATGGAAAAAGGTTGAAAAATCAAGAGCTGGCAGAAGGAACATGGTGTTAAGGAATGGGAGTACAGCTTCTGGTCCTTCAAGCTTAATTCACCATTCAATAGGATCAAGGCTGGTCTGGTTGTGGTCTCAGCTCTACTTTGCTGCTCATAACCCTAACCTTCCTTGCCTATGTAGAATTTATCTATCTCAGCCTTAAATAAATGTCAAGACCTGAACCTCACTATCTTCTGAGTAAGAGAATTCCATTCCCTATCACTCCTCCGAAGGAGAAAAAAATGGCCCTTGGAAAGGGAAACCTTGGCTGAATTTCACCAAAACTCAGCAAAGAGTCAATTTCGGGGAGGTTCGTGGAGTGTTTCTCTCCATGACATTCTGCTGAATTGTAGCACACAATTTTATACTGTTCACCTCATTAAGTATACACCACGCCTCGACAACCTATGTTCGCAATATCGTGTGCTCACCAGCAGCAGAAGGGCTCCCTGCTGCTGAGACCTCAGGGATACCCACCACTAGTGCTTTATTTAAAGCCCAGCTCTGCATCGAGTCAATTGCTGCCAGCTATAAACAGCCCTTCATAGTACACGTAGCGGGAAGGAAATAATAAAGAAAAGTTTGAGGGCAATGGTAGCACTAATTACCTTTAATTGCAAATAGAATCACACAATTGTAAATGTATTGCTTCTTTCCATTATCACCTGATTGATTGATTCTCATTTTAACTGCAGCTAGAAGATTCAAAGCTACACAGGCTAATCATCCTTAGTCCCATGTTAGAACACTATCTCAGGTAGTACTCGTCTTTTCCTAATTCCCAGCACTACACAACCTCTTGTCATTGTTTAATGTGAGAGTGTCACATGCTCGCAAATACTTACAGGTCAAGGTGAGAGGAAATCAGCTCCAGCCCTTGAGCAACCAATTTGATTTTGGGATAAAAAGGTGTAGAGCTGGATGAACACAGCAGGCCAAACAGCATCAGAGGAGCATCCATGATTACAAATATTTCAAACTGTACTCTGAAAGTGCCTGATTGATACAGTTATGCCTTCAAGAGCATCACATTGCTCACAAATAGAGACTGTGTGCTCAGGCAGAATAAATCTACTTATTCCACCCATTTAAGGTGTGGGGCCAGCCATTGTACACTTCCAGTGCAATTTGAAATTCAGATAGGGATGGAAAGCAACCAAAACGGTGCTTCACAAAGTAAGGTGCAACATTTTTTCTCCACCTGCATTCTACAGCCCACCATCCCTACAATCCCCTGCCCCAACTATAGCATTAGTGCTGACCCCTTCACACTTCACTTCAGCTCTGATGAAGAGTCATTTAGACTCGAAACGTTAGCTTGCTGTCTCTCCAAGGGATGCTGTCTGACCTGCAGTGATCTCCTGCATTTGTTATCTTCAGTACTCTCTACCTAGCAAATCCATCAGTTTTGAAATTCCACATGTTCCCACCCAATTTTTTTATTTAGTCACAGAATGAAATTGTTGTTATGGAGCAGCAATTCATTCAGCCTATCATGTCTGCACAGGCTTTCTGAACGTTTTGACTTATCGCCCATCTGCCTTTTTCCCGTAACCCTGAATACTTTCCTATTTAAGGGATCATCTATCGCCCTCTTGAATGTCTCAATCGAACTGGCTTCCACCACACTCCCAGGCATTGTATTCCATCTCCTAACTACATGCTGTCTGAAAAGGTTTTTTTGTATCACCTTTCATTTTCTTTGTTGGCAAAACACTTTAAATGTGTGCCCTCTTGTTCTTGATCCTTTCATGAATGGGAACAATTTCTTCCTACCCTCTCTGTCTGGGCCCATCATGGTTTTGAAAACGTCGATTAAATCTTCTCTTGGCTTTTCTCTGTCCAAGGAAAATAATCCTTACTTTTCCAATCTATCGTCATAGCTGAAGTTTTTCATTCCTGGAATCATTCTTGAAAAGCTCTACTGCACACTGCTCTACATTTCTTCCCTTCCTAAAATATGTACCCAGAACACAATACTCCAGCTGAGATCTAACTAGTGTATCATATAAATTCAACCTAATCTCTTTTCTCATGTACTTTAAGCACCTTGTACTGAAGCCTAGATTGCTGCATGCTTCATTAAAAGCTCTCCCTGCCTGTCCAGCCACCTTTAATGACTTATGCAAGTATACACCCATACACTCTTTACTCCAGCATACCCTTTAACATCCTACTCGTTATTGGTGGTTGTTTAACCTGAGGGTCGTCACATCTCAACTGTGGGGAGGAGGTTGAAGATGAGAGTCCTTTCATGGTAACATCAACTAGTACAGGAATTGAGCCCATGTTGTTGGTATGACTTTGCATCGCTAATCAGTCATCCAGCCAACTGAGCTAACTGACCTTAGGTTAGTTACTGTGGATTGACCATTATCACTTCTTCCATCATTCTAAAATCTAATGATACAATGATTTCTGTCTTATTAACGTGATCCCATTGACATTTGATCTACTTGGCCCACCTCATTCCAAAGGACCAAGTCTGGCAGTATCTTCTTTCCTGTTGGACCAAGCACATTCTGCTGTAAGAAATTCTCCTGAACTTAATGTGGGAATGCTTGACCATCTGTGCCCTTAACATGACCACTATTCCAGTCTAAATTTGGGCATTTGAAGACCCCCATTATAACTATTCTGTTGATGTATGCACATCTCTGTAATTTCCCTGTAGATTTGTTCCTCTACATCCTTTCCATTAATGTGTGGCCTATAGATTACACTGACAAATGTGACTGCACCCTGTTTATTTCTTAGCTCAAACCAAATCAATTCTGTTCTTGAAGTCTCCAAATGTCCGCTTTCTCCACTGCTGCAATGATGCCTCCAATCCTCCTTTTATTCCTACCTTGTCTTTTCTGAACACATCATACCTAGTAATATTTAAAACCCAGGCCTTTACTTCCTTGAGCCATGCCTCTGTTATTGCACAACATCTCCCGACTTTATACCCAGCTCTTCAGCCCCACACCTTAGCCATGTCAATTACCATGCTGCACTGTGCCCCCATCAAAGCCTGGGTGGTGATGAAACCTCCCTCCTGCCGTAACCTGAATCCTCCAATGTGCTATTGTTTCCACCCTAACATATTGAGTTGAGTCCCTTCATGATTATCACCCATGCATTCCAGAATGCTGCCTCCGAACCCCATAATTGATTACCCAATCTTTCTATCACAGGCCCCTGATAAACCCCTGGACTCACCAGGCCCCTGCCCCCTGACTAACTTGGAATGATAGTCCAGCCAGCGAGTAACTGACACAACAAATTAACACCCTCTTCTCATTATGTATTGAGTGATGTCCTTTTTGTTCATCTGTTTCTTGTGTCCTAGTTCTGATGAGTGGAAGACAAAAAACTTCAACTTCTGGTCTCCTTTTAACAATATTTAAGTTCTGAACTGCTGAGCATTTATTTCTTACTTTTTTTGTTACTTCATTCTTTGATACTTCTTAAAGTTTGTTCAATCCTCTAACCTATCATTTAACTTTACAAGTTTGTAAGGTGTTTCAATTTAACACATTCATAACTTTCTAATAAAGTATGGATGATGCATCCTTCTGTGAGAGCCTTTCTTTCTGACAGGGATAAATCATTGCTGACATATTAATTATCACCTTAAATGTCTGTCACTGCAACTCTAGTGACCTACCTTTTAAGCTAGTATCCCAAATCGTTCAGCTTATCCAGCTCTGCCTACATACCCTCAGAGTTACCTACATTTAGGTTTAAAACATTTGTAATGGACGCCCACTTCTCCTTTCAAACTGAACATGAAATTCTGTCATATTTCTCATCTAGACCAACCAATGAAATTCGAGCTGCAGCCTACCCCTTCAAGGAAAAATTAAGGATGCGCAACAGTGCTAAAAATAGGAATGCCTTTGTGAGGCAATATTTAACAAGCTTTAATACATATTTTTACCACTATGTTTGTTTAGATTACGCTAAATACATGTAGCAATTGTAATGCTATATTCAAGCAAAATACAAGTTCCAATAAAAGAATGCATTCTTTGTTTGGAAAAGCAATTATTTTGAATGAATTTAGGGAACATCTCGTGATATTCTATATGCAAAAACAATTCTACATTTCAAGTAGATAGAATTGATGGTCCAAAAATATATCTGCAAATGCAGTACTTACAGAACTCAACAAGCACGTTCTTAGTCTCATCAAAAGCAACTTTTTCAAAGTTCTTTCCAACCAGAACTTTCACAGGATTTTTGTCCCAGTCCTCTGGAATGTCTTCACTCTTTAGGTAAGGCTAAAATGATTAAGGAAACTTTCAATACAAAAGATAAAGAGGGAATAGATTTTAAACTGATGACAACCAATTTTAGTAAATGACTGACTAATTTAGCTTCTGAAGCCTGCTCTAATTTCATCAACTTACTGCTGTAGATGTAATAGTTTACTGCTGAAATTTGATTTGACTGAACTGAAATGTAACTTATGAACAAAGTCTTCAAATTATCCATATCAAAGATATGGAAGTTAACATCTTGCAATGTTCTGGGTAGAAATACTTAATCTTTCAATTTCTGTCAAAAGTGAAATATTAAATAGAAATCTAATAATGTAGGGAGTACCTCAAGTTTTCCATCAAGACTATCCTGACAGAAGGCTTTCACATTTTCTGTGGTAATTTCATCAAATGGAAACTTGTATTTCTTAATACTGTTGATGTTAATTAATCGTATTGTTGGTGCATCGTCTTTCTTCACAGAGAAGTACCCCAGCACATGTTCAATGTCACCATTCATTTCAATAGAAACAAAAAGGATCTGAGAAAAAGAGAAAATAAATGTTTGGCATGGAGACTAACCTTTAAAGGACTGATTGGTAGCAGGAATTTTCTTCAGAATCACGGCATGAGGAAACAATTGCCCTTCTTACTTTCACCTTTATCTTTTTTGTCATTCTCTAGTTTAGCAAACTAAGAAATGTTGATAGCTTGAACTAAATAGAAGTTAGTGGTAAGTGTTAGTGTTTGACATTCTGGGTGATCGAAACTCTATCACATGCAATAAGCAAGATTAACATCATCCAACCATATGAACACATCAGTCAGAAAGATCCCCATGCCCGACGTAGACACCCCCACCCCTATCCCATGTGCATGAACACAGTTAGCAGATCCTCAGATTTAAATGTATCTTTGAAATGGCTTGAACTTAAAACCAGTAAAAGCTTCATGGAGTTATAAATATTTCAGAATGAAGATGAGGGGAAACATTTCAATTTAAACATTTGTAAACGGTTTATTGGGAAATAGTTGTGGGGTTTGAATGATAGGGTTCTATACCTTGCCTCTGAAGGAAGCTGCAGCATCTCTAAAGTTCTTCAGGAGTTGGTTATGCTCCGTAATTGTTTTGTTGATGAACAACAGGATGTGGTTGTCAATTTTAGCATCAAATATTTTAGCGTTATTCTGTAATTTAAACATTGTGAATGACAGCTTGATAAAATATTAACTGTAGAATGCAGTATCAAGTTTTTTTCTAGTGAAAAGACAATCAATATTAATAGAAAAGCATGTGTTACGAAAGATCCTTCAATATTCATTCTATCAATTCAAAGATGCACATTAAAACATCACCTTCCCCAATTCTTCATAGTGCTAAATCTTACAAAAAAGCAAAAACACATTGACTAATCAAAAGATGAAATATTATTCCTCAAGCTTGCATTGAGATTAAGTGGAAGACCACAGTAAGCTGAAAACAGAGAGAGGTCAGAGTGAGTGCAATGTGGAGAATTAAAATGGTGGACAATCAGACATTCAATGTCATCTTTATACCAAAGCAATTATGCAATCTGACTTGATCTCTCCAACATACAGCAGGTTTCATTGGGTACAGTGAGTGCTAAATTGGAAGAGTACAAGGAAATCATAGTTTCACCTGTTTGGAACCTTGGATGTTAAGAGAAGAGGCAAAAGGGTCGGTATTGAATCTCCTGATATTTTGGTAGGCATTTTGAAGCCATCCAAATTTAACATTGAGTTCAATAATTTTAAACTGCAAATGCTGATAATTTTTTTCCATTTCTTTACATGTTTCTGTTTTATTCTTTTCTATCTTTCACAGAACTGCTTTTCAGTATTCTACCATTTGCAGCTTCTCCAGACCTATCTTTTGTTTCCTCACTTGTTTAGTAATGTCCTTTAACACAGAAGCAGGATAGTAAATGATTTCATTAAAAATGATTGCGGAATCTGTAATTGTTTTTAAGAATATTTGAAAGTGAGTTTAGTTTACATCAATTGTAAAAAGATAAACTTTAATTTTCTTTGATAATAAAAAAATCCATGTGACCTGATTTTCCTTGACCTGGAAGCAGTACCAACACAAGGGAAGTTAGGCAGGAAACTCTGCAGACATAACAGAAATCTGCAGACAAATGAAGAAACAAATAGGAACCTTTTTCAAGATGATGTGTGTGTGTGTGTGTGTGTGTCTGTGTGTGTGCGTGCGCACACGCATGCGCATGTGTTTTTATTGTTGTTATTGTTATATTTGAATAGGACAGAAAGTCAAAAATGCAGTTAGGCAGAGATTATGAATTTACTACTATCACTTCAGATTTGCCAGATCCAACCAATCCATTTTGTGGGATTTATTAACATGGTGGAGTAAAGGAGTCTGTGGGGTGATCAGTAACATTAAGATTATCGAGGTGGAGGTTCTGCAGGGATGAGCTATTCAGGTGATGATCATCCCCAGTGATCATAAATAGAATATGGTTGCCAGTGAAAAGGGCTCATGGCCAAATCTACTGAATGAGAAATGATGAGTTCTTATGTTCTGGGCTATGCTAGAGAATTTTGAAAGTGCAAGTGGTGCCACAAGTCTGTAAGGAATGATGGGAGTACTTATGGTTGTATTGGCATATTTTGTTGTATCAATTATTTGAAATGAAATATACCTTTTTATTTGAACTTCATTTGCTTGTTAACTCCTATTTATTTTACATTGGCTTCCATAAAGTGGAATCTTGTTGACCATTTTTTTCATTTGGGAGTCATTCAGTAAATTTGGTTTTCAGTTTGTGACAGAACAATTACTATTCCTTTTGACTTTGGACCACCAGCTGTTTTGGTAAATAATCATTATTGCTTCCATTTTATCACAGGCCTGCTCTTCTGTTATTTCACCATCTTTTCATCTGATTAAAATCTATCATATTTTTAACTTTTTCCCTATTCTGATGAATGCTCACCAACCTGCAATGTTATCTCTGTCTCTGCCTCTACTGATGTCTAACAGGAATCTATCGCCTTCTGCAGATTCAACACTTTGCACATTAAGCACCATGGCTAAGACTTTCTAATGTTATATTCAAAGTTTTGTGCTCCATGTCATAATGTACAGGATGGCCCACACTACCATCAATAGGAAATCGTGACACATCATGTACCTATATAGCCCCCTAAGTGGTCACCAGGTACATCATTTCCTGGGACAGCGGTGTTCTTCCCTACCTGAAGCCTCCAAGAGGTCATTGTGAGCAGCTGCACTGCCTCAGAAGTAAAGGCTGCTGACTGATTAGTAACCCTGAAATCTTGAGTAGCAGTCAAGGTAGATGAGGAAGGATTCTGTGGTGGCGGGTTCAAAGGCTAGGGCTGGATATTGGCTTTCGTTGGGCTAAATTTGGGGAAGAGTGAGTCAACCCAACACCTCACCCTCCTCTATACACCCAAAACCAGCAGAGAGGCCACTCTAATGTGATAGCTCAGGTTGGCTGCTGTTATTGTCCGCCTGAGTCGCTTATTTTTTTCTAATTTGATGTAATTGGCAGACTTGAATTGTAAATCAGGAACATTTAGAACCAATGAGTTCCAAAGAAGTGAAATGTTATTAGTCTTCTTCTCTATATAGACCTTGTTCGTTCTGCTGGAGATTTTCAGCATTTTCACTTTTATTTCAGATTTCCAGCATCTGCAGTATTTGCTCTGAATATTATCCTTTATTTCAGAAACAAAGTGACTAAAGCTTTATACAACATACCTCTTTGGTGAATTCAGTTACAAGGTGCATTTCATTAACTCTGATAAATTTATTCAGATTCTCCTTGGTCAAACCAGTTTCAGCTTCAATTTCAAAATCAGCTCGTCGATCATCAAACTACAGGAGTAACATGTTAAAAGTCTGAATCAGTCATAGAATTCACTATTGATGTAATACAATCTCATACACAAAAAACAGTTACTTAATTTTCTGGAAGTTGTATTTCTACACAATTTGGTATGTAGGCTCTTCACCCACATTGGAACATCAGCAAATAACAAACACTTTCAGTAATCAGCACAGTCTCAAAAATAGGAGCATAGAGTGGGAACGGGAGTTGAACTCTCAAGCCATTGATCCTGTTCTGTTATTCAACAGCTAATCTGTGACCTAATTAGATATGTCTGCCTTATCCTCAATACTTTTGGTTAACAGAAATCTCAGTATCTTCAGACCTCCACTGTTTCTAGATCACATCACATTAGGTCCCAAGTGCATCCACAAAACGGTGCCACAGCTTGAAGGTAAACACACAGCCAGGATAAAGTCAAGTGTGCCAGACCAGGTTAAATAACTTAGACCACAACATCATAAGTGGGATCAGAAGAGCAACAAATATCAAACCATCGTTTTCTTTTTCGGGTGCAATTTCAACAGCTAGTTTTGAAAAAAGCAGCGGTTGAGGTTATTATGTGTCCAATCAAACACAGCCATGAACAAAATCTGAAATTACTAGAAAAACTCAGCAGGTCTGGCAGCATCAGTGGAGACAAAGCAGAGTTAAGATTTAGGATCCAGTGACCCTTCTACAGGACTGACTGTAGCTGGAAAACATTGGTAAAAGGCTAGAGAAGGGTACAGGGAGGGGAAAGGAGTAAATGATAGTTGGAGATGGAGCCCACAGCAACAATGAAAGTTTTGACAGTGGACAAGAAAAAAGATTGGAACAGAAATCTGTCGGAGACAGAAGCAGAACTTCAAGGTGGCCTGAAGAAGAGTCACTGGGTCCGAAACATTAACTCTGCTTTCTCTCCACAGATGCTGCCAGAGCCGCTGAGTTTTCCAACAATTTCTGTTTTTGTTTCAGATTTCCAGCATCCGCAGTTCTTTACCTTTTTTTTCAAATACAGCCATGCTTTATTTCAGAATATTTAAATAAATATGGCATGCATTGGCAAAGTGATATCCTGTGAGCTTGCCAAGTGAAATTCAGGCTAAAGTTAAATTCAATCAGAATGCGTCATTGGATTTAGACAACAATTCACATTTATACTGCACCTTTAACATTGTAAAATGCCCCAAGGCACTTCACAGAAGCAATTATCAAGTAAAATTTGCCAACCAGTCAAATGATGAGATATTATTTATATTCATTCATGACACACGTGTAGACTGTCATTTGTTGTCCAACCATAATCACCTTGGAGAAAGTGCTGTTAGGGATGGATTGGAGCTAGTGTATTGACATGGGTAGAGAAATGTTAACAGACAGGAAATAAGGAGTAGGAATAAACGGGTCTTTTTCTGAATGGCAGATTGTGATTACAGGGATCAGTGCTTGGACCCCAGCTATTCACAATACATATTAACAATTTAGATGAGGGAAATTAAGGTAACATCTCCAAATAACATAAAGCTTGGTGAAAAGGGAAACTGTGAAGAGAATGCAGCGATGCTCCAGTGTGACTTGGACAAATTGAGCAGGTGGACAGGTGAAGTGCATTGCAATTAAATGTGATGTTATCCATTTTAATAGCAAAAAAAACAGGAAAGCAGGTCATTGTCTGAATTGTAATAGATTGGGAAAGAGGAAGGTGCACTGAGACTTAAGAATCCTTGTGTACCATTCACTGAAAGGAAGTATGCAGTTACAGCAGGTAGTGAAGGTGGCAAATGGTATGTTGGTCTTCACAGCGAGATGATCCAAATACAGGAGCAGAAGCATCTTACTGCAATTATGCAGGGCCTTGGTGACAGCCCACCTGGACTGTGCAGTTTTGGTCTCCTTATCAGAATGTCTGAACATTGATGTTTCTAAGAAGGAGTTAGATATAATTCTTCATGCTAAAGGGTGAAAGGGTTTCAAGAGAAAGCAGTAATATTGAACTGAATTAGATGATCAACCATGATCATATTGAATGGTGAAGCATGCTTAAAGGGCTGAATGGCCCACTCTTGCTCCAATTTTGTATCTTTCTACGTTTCCAGGATTTTGACCCAGCAATAGTGAAGGAGCAGTGACATAGTTCCAAGTCAGAACGGTATGTGGCAACATTCAGGTGGTGGCATTCCAAAGCATCTGCTGCCCTTTTCCTTTTAGTTGGTAAATGTCACAAGTTTGGGAGGTGCTGTGAAGGAAGATTGGCTGAGATTTTGCAGTGCCTCTTATGGATGGTACACATTGATGCTGCTTTGTTCAGCGGTGGAAGGTGAAGGATGAAGGTGGTGGATGGCTTTTCGGTCAAATGGCCTGCTTTTTCCCGGATGTTGGCAAGGTTCTTGGGTGTTGTTGGAGCTACACTTCAGCCTTTATTGCTCTTCCCATGTGTCTCTCTTCCCAGTTGAATGACATAATCAAGTCAGCCACATGTTCTGCCCTTCTCCTTATTTCTCTATCACTCATTTTACCCTTGGTCCTCCCTCCACTCCTCCCAACTCCACTCATAATCTTCAACAGACACAAACACTATCAGCACCAATTTGTTTCCTTACTCCTCAGTTTTTATCTCATCCTCTCTTCACGTCTATTTTGCTTGTATGCCTTCAAAATTCATATTTTTTAAAGAAATCTAATTAGACACACTGTATTTTTTCATGTTTTCTATATTTCTTCCTTCAATGTACAAATGCATCCAATAATTATCAATTGTTATGTCTTACTGGGTAACACACAGGAAATCAAATGCTGCTGTTGCCACATTATCACAAAATTTAAAGGTTATATAAAAGTGCACAAAATTGCCCAATTTACCTGTCCTCTAGAAACAAGTTTGACAGAAAATGTGGTCCTGGTTTCTGAACTTAACAATGATTAGTATTTATTATAATTAAATAGATTATAGCTACAGGCAAACAATCATGAACTGCCAGCATATACACTCCAACGATTAAAACTGTAACCCATTTCTAAAATTCCCTCTACACATACTGCCAGAAAAACAAAAAAAAATGGGTGCTAAGAATGGAAGGGAAGACTGCAAAGATGATTCAATGGTCCCTGTCCACAGGGCTTGCTGGATTGATCATTTGGTGTGTCAAATGCTGCTACTCCTTGCTCTTTGTTCTCCAGGTTCTTTCACTTGCTTGCAGGAGGTGCTGGGCAACCAGTTTGTACTTAATAAAGCTTACAACTTATTGTTTAAGAGCCACAGCTTATAGCAACTGATGAGGAATGTAAAATGGCCTGCTGTGGTGTGAGGTTTTTTTAATGCAGAGCAGAGGACAGCTCGTTCCTTTTCCGAGCTCCAATGGCTTCTCATGAAATATTCACACCCACAAGCTGTTCAACTATCAGGGAGCCAATCATATCATTGTTGTCAGGCAGAAGATCTTTATCATCAACAACTAGTCTGTAGTCCACAGGCCAATTTGCTAGTTGCTGTTGACTGAATCTCCATTCGTATGAATCCCTTGGCTATAGCTAATCTGCAACTAGACTGCCCCCACTGCTTGAACAAACAGCAGTGTGACCAGTACTTACAGTGAACGTCAGGTAACTTGCTTTGAAAAAGTTCAGCAATCCTTAATTTTTATAGCAACTTGTCTCATTTCAGTCCACAATCAAAAGCACATAAATGATAAGATAGAGTTTTACACAACTTACTTTTTTATATTTTAATTTAACAGTTAAGATGCATTGTTTTAATAGGCATTTTTATTTCAACTGAAACTAGCATTAAAAATAATTCTCTCCTTTTTCCCTAGTCACTTCCTCTCTCTTTCCAAACTTGATACAATTTCTGACATTTATAGAATACTAAAGTTACAATACATTGGTGATCAGTGCAGGAACAAGAGCCTTAAGAAGATTTAAACTGTGTGACTGAAGACTGAATTACTTTATTGATTGCTGCAAAAGGGGCATTGTTGAATTCCATGTTGCCCTGCAGAAGAGAAATTCTCTACAAAGTTAGGTAGAGAATCATGTTAATTTTATTTTGAATGTGGCCAATGCAAAATCTCCCTCCCTTTATGGAAACGTATTCAGTTTGAGGTTGTCAGTCCTGTCCTCAGAAGACCATTCCTGTTTCATTTCAGAGACATGAATCATCTTTGTTGACAATATTCATCCAGTAACCTTCCTGCACAAGTCACTCCTCTGCAGCCAAGACTGAGATCACACAATCCACTGTGATGGGCAACAGGTCAGAACTTATTTCCCTCTACTCAGTGACTTACATCTGCTTCTGAATAAAGTCAGTTTAAGTCAGTATTACGTTTTGCTCAGGACTCCTCCATGTGATTTTAATCTATAAATTTTGGAGTTATGGCTCTTTTCAAAAGTAATTTAGAAGCATGACTGAAAACAAAACAAAATTTCGCAATTTGGATTGCTTACATCCTTGTTATTGCACTTCAAAAACTTTACTAAATATTTTGTGCACTGACCAAAAAACTAGGGGGTACTCTTCAGAGATTGTGCAATTAGGTGGGGAGAAGTTAATAAACTGGGAAAGACTTTGTTTATTAACTGACTGTATAATTCGTTTAATTTGGGATGTGACTGATAAATAGGCACTCTACCTTTGAATCAAGGATGTGTTTGTTAAATGCTAATCGTTTTTCCAAATAGAACAGTTGTATTAGACAAAGTATGTGTGACTTACCTTTTTGAACAATGTTATGGTATTCTTTGATATGCCGTATTTTTCCAAAGCCTCTGCATCATTGGTGATAGCAAATGGTATTTCGACCATATCATTTGCTGTCTCTGTAAATGTTTTCACATCATCATTTTCAAGGTCCTCAATAAAGAAATGTAAAGTCAGTTCTGTAAAATATTCCAGCATATGAATAACAATGTAAAAGGAACAAGTCTGAATAACTATACATTTATTGTGCAAGATTTCTGTGCAAATGAAACAATTACCTTGAAAAAGCCAACAATGACAACCTCAGCTGAGCCAATGTACTTTTCAACTTCAGCTATACTGTCCAGGAATGTATAACTAGGACCAGTTCTTCTTTTTAGCCAGCTGATAATGCCTTTGGCATCTCTTTTCCCTGGAAGAAGATAAAGCATCAACTGAACATTAATATGTCTTGTGATGCAAGTAATCCAAAATTATCGGTGCATATATCTAAGGTCAACATTTGCTCTTATGTGGTATTTTAAGCTTCTTAAATAAAATGACTTCTTTTACTGATTATTCTGAGTAGAAATCAGTTTCTGAAAAAATAATTTGCAAGAAATCAACCTTTTGATAGGTTAGTTTTTAATGGGGATGGATAAAGTGACATGTTGAGATTTGATTTCTTGGAAAAGTTGCACTACAAATGAACAGCTGCTAGCAAAGGCTTAGATGAAAGAAAGAACACCAAAATCGGGGAAGGACAATTGAAATTTCTTAGTCACATCATAAAGACTTATGATTTAGAAAATCTTTCGCTGATGGGAAAGTTGATAGGTAAAGAGATAGAAATTGACAAATGAATGGCTGTTCTAAAGAGCCGTGCAAACTGAATGAATGTATTATCAATAAAAATGATTCATGTCTCTGAAATGAAACAGAAGTGCTCTTCTGAGGATAGGACTGACAACCCCAAACACGTCAGTTTCCTGAACTTCCCATACTATAAAATAAATAATAGTTTATCTAGGATGCTGTTCCTGGTCTACTCTACCTTATATTTGTAAAGTGCCAATGATATTCCAGGGAGAATATCCATGGCTGTAGCAATCATTTTTGCTTCAACTAAAGGAAATGCACCCTCTCTTAACGCAATCGTATAGATTATCATGGAAGCGTTGGAAGATGTTAGATGATTAGGATGTATGGATGAGTACCAAATAAAAGAAGACTGGTTAGTCACAATGAAGGGAGATCTCCACTGAGAGTCTTAAAAGGGGGTTGAGCATGTTTAAGTGACCAGCTGTGGTAGAGTTAATTCAAACCGATAATAACTAAGTCAAGAAAACACGAAAGAGGTCACCTCTTCCAAAACAAAACGGGCACTCAAAGGTTCACATATTCCACGTCAAAGAAATGGTGTCATGCAAGATTCAGGGTAGTTCTTCCTGTAAATTGTAGTATATATTATCACCCACTACTAAAAACAATTAATGTAACCATAGAAATTGTGATTCCAATCATTGAGCAAATGGACTAAGGGTAAAATTAAAAAAAATTGTTCAGTGCACACCCTTGGTTCACTTTATCTGTGGTGATACTCCCCTTACCCATAACTATCTTTACATTTAGCATTCTTGTTGTTCATCAGATCTGAATCCAGTAAGTATATCAGTAAGTATATGATATTACCAGTGTAATCAATGGGAGCTTTTCTGTCACTCTCCTTAAAAAACTTTAATGTTGGATAGCTATTGATTCCAAATTCTGAACCAAGTTCCTTCTCTTCGATGACGTCAACCTTGGCAAGTTTAAATTCAGAAGATTCATTCTTCAGCTGTCCCGCAGCACTGGCATATTCTGGTGCCAAACTTTTACAGTGTCCACACCAAGGGGCATCTTTTGGGAGGAGATGTAGAAATATTTACCGCAAGATAAACAATTAACTAAAATGTTACACATCAGCCAATAAACTCTCAGCCTTCAAAAACGGTTTGTAACTTTTTTTTCAGTTGAATGCTCTACCATAGAAAACAAAGAGGGCAAATACAACAATGTAAAACATTTATTCCTACAGTAAAAATGAAACATAAATCATAACCCAATTAATATCTTTTCTTTAAAAATAATGTAGCTTGGCTTGAGAATAATACTTTTTGTTTGCTCAGAATTACTGTATGCATTACTTTTGCTGGCAGGCCAATTGTAACAATGTGAGAAACAACAGCTGTGAACCCTTTTGCTGAATTTCTAGTGTTTGTAATTAAAACCGGATTGCATGTTAGTTTTAGAGATAGTAGGAACTGCAGATGCTGGAGAATCCGAGACAACAAGGTGCAGGGCTGGATGAACACAGCAGGCCAAGCAGCATCATAGGAGCAGAGAGGCTGACGTTTCGGGCCTAGACCCTTCATCAGAAAAGGGGGAGGGGAAGGGGGTTTTGAAATAAATAGGGAGAGAGTGGGAGGCGGATAGAAGAGGGATAGAGGAGAGGATAGGTGGAGAGGAAACAAACAGGTCGAAGAGGCGGGGATGGAGCCAGTAAAGGTGAGTGTAGGTAGGGAGTTAGGAAGGGGATAGGTCAGTCCAGGGAGGACGGACAGGTCAAGGGGGCAGGATGAGGTTGGTCGGTAGGAGATGGAGGTGCGGCTTGAGGTGGGAGGAGGGGATAGGTGGGAGGAAGAACAGGTTAGGGAGGCAGGGACGAGCTGGACTGGTTTTGGGATGCGGTAAGGGGAGGGGAGATTTTGAAACTTGTGAAATCCACATTGATACCATTGGGCTGCAGGGTTCCCAAGCGGAATATGAGTTGCTTAGTTTTGCTTTCTGCATTGTGGATTCATGCTAGCCAGTTAGTATGAAGGGTTTCTAAAGCATAATGAGATTCTGTAGGATCACCACAGATGTTTCTGCTGCTAAATGTAATGGGTTGCAATCACAGCAGGTAGCACTAAATTGCAGTTATGATAGCTCAGGTTCTTACTTTTATACCATAATAACAAGACAGAATCTTTCAGAAGCTGCTAGAACATGTACAGTATATTATTGCAGTTTTTATTATTTAAGAATATTATTTAAGCAATTAATGATAACTCCTAGGAACTCTGGAAACTTGGGCCTCGTCCTCAAGGGTGCAAATGATTCCAATTATAATTATGTAGAGATAAAGTAAAAGTATTAGATTCCATTTATAATTAATCAATGATATATTGGTTCCGACACAATTATTTTCAAATAGTGAAAATTTTGCTTTGAATAATTGACTAAATGTACAATTAAATATGAAGTTCGGAAGTGAGGCGCTGTGGCACTGTGATAGTGTCCAGAAGGTCTGCATTTAAGATCGACCTGCTGCTGCAATGTATTATCACACATCAGAGCATGTCAGGTTGACTAAAATAAGTAAAGTTTGGAAGTACGAGCTGTCCCGTTTTGTTGTACAACCTTGTACTGATATTTGCAAGTACGTGACTTGAAAAGAAAGGTCTCTTTTTGTTTTGACTTTCAAGCAAACAAATGAACTTGCCCACTTACAAAATTCCACCAGGAGATATTTGTTCTCTTTTAGTGCTCTCTGGAAGTTGTGCTTGTTCAGCACTAAAACGTCCTGGTCTTCAGTAATCTCATCTGAAAAGGCTTCTTCGGCATCTTGCTTTGTCTCTTCCTCTACCTCCGTTTCCCCAGCCTTCACAGTAGAAACGAAGGCGAGGACTAACATTAGGACACAGCACTTCATCACGTTGTTCAGAAGGACTGCACACTGCCTGGAAACAGCGCTGATAAAGCCAAGGCCAGTGTGACGCCTGCCTGACAACACCTCGTGGAATATTATTACTGGTTTGTACGTATAACAGAACGACCTACTGATGGATTACCATTGACCTGTGGAGTTTCAATACGTTGATTCTTTACAGTATAGGATCACAGCTCAGAATAATGACAAAATCGTAGTGATGAAAAGTCATCTGAGCTGGGTCGTGATTATACTGCTGAAATAATTCCATTAATAAGACATTGTCCTCCTGAGTTTATAACGTGTTAGTATTTCATTACATTCATCATAACTTAGTCACTATTTTAAATTACTTAAACATCAGTTACAAGTGGACTGGTTTGTCATTTACCATATGTAATTGCCAATAATTCTGATCAGATCAGCACTTGTTGTTTGTAGTCCCTAATCATTTGACTTCATGTATTATGAGCAATATAAACATGCAACATGGAAAGTGATAGCTTGTGACAGAAGAGGTAGATCATACAAATCTAGGAATAAATCAGCATAATTTGGATAGAGGGTACAAAAATAATAAAATGACAAAACTAAAGGCTCTGTATCTGAAAGCAAATAGCATCAGGACAAAACAAGTCAATGGTAATCATCATGGAGATATGACTGCAGGGTGACATAAATTGGAAGCTGAATGTTGAAGGGTAAATGACACTTAGGACCTAAAGGAAGCTGGAAAATGTTTTAGGTGGCTTTGTTAATTGATGATGGTTATAGCACATAGAGAGGGACAATTCAAGTTTAGAAATCAGAATGTAGAAGCAGTTTAGGTAGAGACGAGAAATAATAAAGGCAAGATGTCACTTGAGGGAGTGGTGTACAGCCCAACAACAGTAGCCACATGGTAGAATGGAGTACTATGGAAGAAATAACAGACCATCTGTGGACAGAGAAACTTAATATTTTGAGCCAAATGTGACTCTTCTTTGAAAGAAGTGGCTGGAAAAGTGATAGCTTTTATGCTGTTGAAAAAAAAAATGGGAAGGAGGACCAAGCGCAACAGATGGAAAGTTCCCAGAGCAAAAGCCAAATAGGCTGCTAATTGTAGCTGACCAAAAATATAGATGAAAAGTAGATATGAAATGCAGAAAATTGATTAGCTGTGATCAAAATGGAGGATAAAGTTCATGGCCTGGAGTTGTTGCACTCAGTGTTAACTCCTAAAGGTTGTAAAGTGCACATTAACTCTGTTTCTCTTTCCAGCGATGTTGCCAGACCTGCTCCCTTTCTCTACTAATTGCTACTTTTAATTCAGATCTCCAGCATTTGTAATATTTTTATTTTTATTGAGGAATGAGAGCTTGTCAGAAAGGTTGGCCAGTAATAATGGAGAATTTTAATCAGAATATAGACTGGAAAAATCAGATGGGGCAGGTTGTCCAAAATGAGGAATTCATTGGAATGTTTTAAGGATATTTTCTTAGAACATCACATTATGGAGCCAACCAGAGAGCAGGAAGTACTAGACTTTGCATTGTGCAATTAAATAATAACCTCATAGTGAAGGCATCCTTAGGTAGTCGTGATCATAATATAGTTGAAATATATTCAGTTTGAGAGACGGAAGAGTGGATCCAAGACTAGTGTTTTGATCTTAGACAGCGCAGTTATAAGGTCATGAAAGCAGAGGGAGCTAATTATGTTCATGAACAGGTCAATAGAAATGCAGTGCCAGATACTTAGGGGGATACCAAAAAATACAGAATTGACACATTCCAATGAGAAAGAAAAGTCCTAAGTTGAGGGCCTATCATATTTAAATAAAATGATTATATAATTGTGCAAAGATAGATAGCAGGTCAGAAAATTGAAAGTCCCAAGAGTAGAATGTAGTGAGCTAGGCACAAACTAAAAAGCAGGACCTAAAAGCAAGTAATCTCAGACTTGTTCCCATTGCCACATACTAGAGTATAGAAATATGAAGATTGAACAAATGAATATGTACCTAAAGGATGGGATCTGTATATTCATGGGAGAGGGTCTCTGATCAGAAGAGTATGATGTAGAATCTTTTTGTGTGGAGCTTTGAAACAAAGGGTAGCAAAAATGGTAATAGTGGTTTAGAGGCCTCCAATAAATAGTGGTAACATCAAGCATGGTATAAATCAGGAAATTTAAGATGCATGTAGCAAGAAGGATGTAGTAAAAATGGATGATTTCAATCTACATATAGATGAGTAAATCGAATGGACACCAATGTTGTGAAGGATGAATTCCTGGAATGTATATGAGATCATTTGCTGGAGCAATATATTGAGCAACCAACTGGAACACAGACTATTTAAGATCTAGTATTATACAGCAAGAAAAGCTTAATTAATAATTTTGTTGCAAAAGAACCTTTCGAGAGTAGACCAGAAGATGATACAATTTTCCATTAAGCTTGAAAAGATGTAATTCAATCTGAAACTAGGGTCTCAAATTCAAAAATATAGGCAATTACAAGGTTATGGAGAGGAAGTTGGCTATGATGGATTGGAGAAATATATTAAAAGATTTGAGAGTAGAGAAGCAATGGCTAATCTTTAAAGAATGATTATTTGGTAGCACTTAGATGTTCTGTGAGCTGGTCACCCAGCCTACGTTTTGTTTCCCCAGAGTAGAGGAGATCACATTGTGAGCAGCAAATGCAGTAGACTAGATTGTGGGAAGTGCAGGTGAAGTGTTGTTTCATCTGGATGGTATGTTTGGGCCCTTGGTTACTGGGAAGGGAGAAGGTAAATGGGCAGGTGTTACATCTTTGGCAGTTGCAGGGGAAGGTGCCGTGGGGCTGTGGGGGGTGTTGGGAGTGAAGGAAGAGTGGACCAGGGTGTCCTGGAGGGAATGATCCCTGTGGAAGGTGAACAAGGGAGGGGAAGGGAATATGTGTCTGCTGGTGGCATCTCACTGGAGGTGGCTGGTGAGATTAGTTGATGTGCTGGTTTTAATTTCTCAAAATTGCTGAGAATTTAGGAAAGCTTAGTTGGAATGGAAAATAGCGATTGTAACACATTTAGTCAAAGAGAGGGAGTCAGAGAGAGAGAGAGAAAACAGGAAAATACAACTAGCTTAATATTCATCATAGGGAATATATTAGAACTACTATTTAAAACATTATGGCAGAAGAATTAGAAAACATCAAGGTAATCTGCAGATTTAAGATGATTTAGTCAAAAGGAAATCATGTTACAGAATTAAGAACAAAAGAACAAAAGAGAAGTGCAGCACGGGAACAGGCCCTTTGGCCCTCCAAGCCTGTGCCGATCATTTTGCTCCAACTAAACTAAAAAACAAACATTCTGCCCTTGTTCAGTCCATATCCCTCTGTTCCCTCCCTATTCATGCAATGATCCAGTTGCCTCTTAAATGCCATCAATGTGTCTGCTTCCATCACCTCCTCTGGCAGTGCATTCCAGGCTCCTACCACTTACTGTGTGAAAAATGTCTCTCGTACATCTCCCTTAAACTTTCCCCCTCTCACCCTGAACCTGTGTCCCCTTGTAATTGAAACTTCAACGCAGGGAAAAAGCCTCTGTCTATGCACCCTTTCTATGCCCCTCATAATTTTGTAGACCTCTATCAGGTCTTCTCTCAGCCGCTGTCTTTCCAGGTAAAACAATCCTAGTCTTTCAAGCCTTTCCTCATAGCCAATGCCCTCAAGACCAGGCAACATCCTGGTGAACCTTCTCTGCACTTTCTCCAAAGCTTCCATGTCCTTCTGGTAATGTGGCGACCAAAACTGCACACAATACTCCAAATGCGGCCTAATAAGGGTTTTATATAGCTGCAACATGGTTTACCAACTCTTGTACTCCAAGCCCCGGCCGATGAAGGGATAAGCATGCCATATGCCTTTTTAATCACCTTGGCCACCTGTGTTACCACTTTTAGGGAACTGTGGACCTGCACACCCAGATCCATCATGTTAATGTTCCTTAGGGTTCTGCCATTTACAGTATAATTCACACCTAAATTTGATCCTCCAAAATGCATCACCTCGCATTTGTCTGGACTAAACTCCATCTGTCATTTCTGTGCCCAAGTTACCAATCTATCTATATCCTGTTGTATCCTTTCATAATCGTCGGCACTATCAGCAATTCCACCAATCTTCCTGTCATCTGCAAATTTACTAATCAGACCACCTGCATTTTCCTCCAGATGATTTATATATACTACAAACAACAGAGGACCTAAGAATGATCCCTGTGGAACACCGCGAGTTACCGGTCGCCATTCCGAAAAACGCCCTTCCACCGCTACCCTCTGTCTTCTATGATTAAGCCAGAGCTGTGTCCATCTAGCCAGCCTATCCCGAATCCCATATGATTTTAGTTTTTGTACCAATCTGCCACGTGGGACTTTATCAAATGCCTTACTAAAGCCCATATAAACTATATCCATAGCCCTTCCATTATCAATTATCTTTGATACTTCTTCAAAAAATTCAATCAAGTTGGTTAGACATGACCTTCCCCATACAAAACCATGTTGCCTGTCACTAACTAGTCCACTTTCTTCCAAATGTGTATATATCTTGTCCCTCAGTATCTTCTCCAAGACCTTCCCAACCACAGACTTCAGGCTCACCGGCCTATAATTTCCTAGATTGTCCCTGCTTCCTTTATTAAACAAGGGAGCAACATTGGCTAATCTCCAGTCCTCTGGAACCTTGCCTGTGATCAAAGAGGATGTGAAGATATCTGCTAATGCCCCAGCTATTTCTTCCCTTGCCTCTCGCAACAACCTGGGATAGATCCCATCTGGCCCTGGGGACTTGTCTACCTTAATGCAAGTTAGGATACCCAAAACTTCCTCCTTTTAATATATTGACATTCTCTAGAGTATTCACACACTCATCCCTGACCTCAACATCAGTCATGCCCTTCTCCTCGATGAATACCAAACAAAGTACTCATTAAGAATCTCTCCCACTTGCTGGGCTCCACGCATAACTTCCCTCCTTTGTCCTTGAGTGGGCCTATTCTTTTCCTTGCTACCCTCTT